TTTGCAATATATTAATCACACTATCATATGCAATTTATATATGTTATGCATCCACATATTTACGAAGGTAATAAAACATTAATGTGCACGAAATGGAAATCGGGAAAATTTAAGAGATATCTCTAAACTTAAAACAAGGAAGCAGAAAGATAATATCAGATGACGTATTACATCTTAATCGTGTAAGTAAAGGTCAAAGGATCGTTCGATACGTCACATTCACGCGACTCTTTTCGCGTTCCGGCTTCTCTTGCCGTTACGAACAAAGAGGACGTCATCGAAAAATGTGCACGCGCCCGCTCTTTTATTATATAATATAATCCGAATCCGAGCCGCCCGATGGTCGATAAAATCAGTAGACATAAAAGTCATATTCGCAAGATTCGCAAGAGGACTCACCTTGCGGTTAAGATCCACTTGCTGCCTTTGGACGAGAGTATTCACGTATACTATCAGGATCCCATAACGTATCTCGGCCCGCGTGACGATTCGACAATGGCGATGACGAACGAAACCAAAGTAAAATAACATTCACTCTAACCAAAGGTCGTTCATCGACTGTGCTCACTGTGGTAGTGTGCTTGATTGCCGGAGGCCGGAGTAGTGCCGCAACATAAGAACAAATCGGAGTGCACTGGCACTGTGCACAGCTGCGTGCATGTCCATTGGTTAACCCCGTAGCGACACGTGACGTGTGACACGATCCCCTGCCGTTTTCATCTGACGGCCCTGTACAGTCCCTCAATAGTTTAAGACACCATCGTCCGCCATTTTCAAGTTAACTATATAGTGCTCTTTTCAAAGACGTTTGAATCGAGTCGGATTTAAGTATTTTACATTATTAAGACTGTACATGTCACTGTATGTCATCACAAAAACAATACAAAAATATAAAAATAGATTGTTTTATTATTATGTTTCTAAGTGCTATGTGAAATTATTGAGCATGATTCTCATTATTATTAGTTTCATAAAATAATCACTTTAAAAAGTGGAGGATAAATATAATTCATAAATTCTATAATAAAAATTTCATCAATTTTGTAGTTTAACAACCAATGATTTGAAACAAACTATACATTTCTCTAACTGAAACCCGATTCCACCAATGTGCGGTTAACTTATTGTTTATCGGTTTATCTAATTCCTGAAATTAAAAAATGAAAAAGAGTAAATTGAACCAAGTTTAAAATTAACCTTATTATATATTAGTAAAATCGAGCCTATATAAGTGAATTCGATCGCCACCGATCAATAAAACGTTCGGATAATAAAAGACAAGTTGATTTGTCCCGCAGTCAATAATAAAAGTTCATAAAAAAAAAAATAAATTTTATCGTGTAGTTACTTGTACAAAGTATTAAAGTACTAAAAAAAGAATATAAAAAAAGGGTCGATTTTTATCTAAGTAAAGTATATATCAACAAAAAAGTTGTTCTTCATTTACTGAAAACGAACGAATTTGTATCGATGTCTTTCATTGGAATACTTCCATTATCGATGGTTGATAAATCATCGCGTTGGTCTCATACGAAAGGAATAATCACTTCAAATACAATATGTATTTAAATTTAAGAATCGTCGTCAGACTTCTTTCCATTGATAAACCGTACGAAATATAATCTTGCATTCAATAATTCTTTGATTTCTTACCATCAAAATATAAACTTATTACATCACACAAATCGAATTATCATGGATAGAACATAATGAGACGTTCCTTTGACACAGTCCGCAAGATATCTTTAAATAATAGTCATTAAATTATAATAGTCCCTACAATATGAATAACTCAGTATTAAATTTATTGCGTTCATTGATTTTTATTTTGATGTTTACTAAATTCTTTATAATCTTAATATTCCATATTGAATTGTTAATGGATCTTAATAAAATAATACTAAAAATGGGTTAACTAATACAGATCTCAATATGCAATTTAGCAACATTTTATTATATATTCATTAGAACTTCAGTAAAAAATTTCCTTTCGGGCAGATAAAAATAAAAAAATTATAATACATTTCTACATTTCATTTAAATGCGAATCTGTTTAAGCAGTCAAATGGTCAGCAGTATCTACATATGTGTAAAACTGACAGAAAACGCGCGTTTGTTAGAAAAATCATTCTAAAAGTGCATTTCGTTTCACGTATTATAATTAGTATAATGCATCATTTATCTTCGACTTTTTTTTTATTTGATGAACAAGGACAAAAGACGTATCGTGAATATGAATTTTTTCAAAAAAATTTAATAATTTTTTAAATTTTTTATATGTTATTATTAACTGGAAAGTATCTATTATTAGCGATTAATATATCATCATTTTATAAATAATAATTCCGATCATTAAAAAATTTTTTTAATATTTTGATGCGAAATATTAAAAAATCGCTAAATTCCATTTAATTAACAAACCAAATGTGTGACAGCCGCAAAAGCACCATACACACAAAAAATGACTTGCATTTAAAAAAGGAAAAACAGTTTATTTCTATACCGTACTCTTTTCAAAACAGTTATATATGTATATTAATGCATCGTAAAAATATTATCCTAACAATTTTTGTCTAAACGTAAATTAATTCTTGCTCATGAGCACATCATTTATTATGGCATATCTACCTACTCTTTTTTTTATATACATCTACTTATATTAATTTGTTAATCTTAATGTATTAACTAATTATGTATATATAATTGTCCCTCGCCCAAGACGCATTTTTATATATCTAAACTTAAAATAACGTAACATCATTTGTTAAACTAACATTATTTCTTTCGAGTGACACTTAATAATTATTGTTATCGTTTTCATCATTATACTTGGATTAATTTCGTTACACGAAAATAGCATATTCTTCTTTTCTCGTTCAGTCCCTATATAAGAATTCGAATACGAAAGTTTCTGTCGCTTTCTTGGCATAAAATAAACTACAATCTCGCATTAATAATCCTTTGATCTTTTAGATTATAATCTGTTCTTAATTTCAAGTAACGTCAAGTCGCTAATACGGTTGTCTAATTGGTTGATGACGGCTTAAATCTAGCTCAAGACCATCTCGAAGCTTGAGCAACGCGTCTATGAATTCTGTCCTTAGGACCAGTTTCACAATTCACGGTTAACTCTTAAGAGGTTTAATTTATTCCTCATCTCTTTCCAATTTTAGAATTGAAAAGAGATCTAGATCATCGAGAAAACCTACAAATCCCGGCTACTTAAATACCATCAACACTTTGTATCTTAAGATCCGCGAGTATTCGGAACTTCATTTTTTTTCCGAGACTTCTCAATCATTCTAGAGTTTCCTTCATCAGGGTTGCCACAAATTTGCAACCGTAAAATCGCCTGACATTTCCCTGATTTACTGACGGAATTTTGAGATTTTTCCCTGACCCAGAATCATTCATACTTTGCAATGTTCCTCGGTCTTCCCAATAATTGTACATAAATCGAGGGTTTCATATTCAGAAATCGACTTCCAAAAAAAAAGGTTGTCAAGAAAAATGATGGCAGAGCGTAAAGCCCGACGAAGTTCAGCTAAAAGTCTTACAATTTCTCTGACAAGTGTGCTAAATCCCTGACTTTTTCTAACTTTCCTGGCGCATTTTACAAATTCCCTGACATTTCCCTGATTTGTGGCAACCCTGTTCATATATTAGATGTGTCGATTTGTAATTATTAGAAATCTGTTATTCTATTATATTAATCAATTTTCTAGATCAAACTCAATACTACGCGTTTATTGAAAAAGATACAAAAACTCTCGTAACGCCCGCACGCACACGCGCCGACTCAATGTTACAATAATCTTATAAAAACGGAATTATCATCTATAACAATCTAATATTACAAATGATCTTACAACACACCGCATTTATACGCGCATCAATTTAATTATTTAGTTAATACAATGGTCAGTTTAGGTTTATAAAATAAATATAGTTTTTGTATAATCATCTTTATCAGGCAAAATAATCATGTACAAACTAACTTTATATAATTAACTCCGTTATATAATTAATTCTTCCAAATGTTTCTAACCGATCGAAGCAATGTGGAAAATCGCTCAATGAATTTCTTGACCGTAATCAATTAATCCATTTTTTTACACATTTCTTTTTTGATTTTACATAACTTCTGAACGAATTAATCACTATTTAACGTATGATATCTGATCTTAGCGAGTTTTAACAAGCTAATAGAGATAATCGTTATTATTCCTGCTCAATTCTCGCATACATGATATAAAGGTAATTTCCACGAAATAAATTTCGAAAGTACTTTTTAGAAACCATCTTCGATTCCTAATTTAAACTACGCATTGTTGTCAAAAAGGCAGAAATGCAATATTGTAATTTCTCAATAGAGTCTCTCTAAGCGGTTTATCCATATTTACTTTTCTTTTACTATAAAACAAGAACATAGAAACACAAATATCCTCTATATTAGGAAATTACAATATTACATCTCTGCCTTTTTGGCAAAGTGCAGCTTAGATTAGGAATCAAAAATGATCTATAAAAAGTACTTTCGCAACTCATTTTGTAGAAATTACCTTTATATGAGTGTGTGCAAGAATCCGACATGAATAGCAAGTATTTCTGCACATAAGCGGGATGTGTACAAAAACTATATTTTTTTTATAGACCTAAATTGACCGATATATCAAGTCAGTGGCACACGATGTTTGTTTTCCTGCTGAATTGTTAGCTGAATTAGAATTTTTGTCAGTATCGCAGTACGGTGATAAGAATTGAATCCAGTTAGCAATCTAGCAAGAAAACAAGCATCGTGTACCACAGGCTTTACTTTATTGAATACGTGAAGTGTCTATAAATGAAATAGTGAAAAAGAAATAATCACGATGTAATTTATTTGTCATTTGTTATTCCTAAATTCCTTGAAATGATTAACATATTTTCGATTACTGATACATCACAACTGCAACATTTAAGCCATAAACAAGTCAAAATTCGTTTGGAACAGTCTCGAACATTTTTGATAAACGCGCCTAAATTTACACACTGTCGTTACTACAATTTAACTATTGTTTGGAGATTGTCAATCGTTAGGTGGTCCAAGTCGCACTGCTTCGAACGGATTCGCGTGTAAGCCCTTAGCAAATCTTCAGAAGCGAAGAATAAACACTGCGTCAGTCACAGGACTAGCCTTTGCAGATCTCTTATCTCAATTATGACAATGAAATCAGACGTTAGATTGCACCACTCACAGTCGAATCACGATTCCCACATACACCACCGCGCCGTTCCTTTTTTTTCCTTTTCTTTATGATAAACACAGTGCTAAATTTCTGGATCAAATTTGATTCACTTGCAAAGTCAGAGCAGAGTACCTGTGATCTAAGCGATCTCTCATTACAAATCTCTCAATGATGATTTCTCAAAAGATCCCTAATAGAAAGGCAATAGGCTGAATTCTATGATGAATATATAAATAAGAGTTTTAGTTTGGGATTATAAACATTAGTAGAAATTAACTGAGATTTTAGAAATCGCGATTTCAGTCGTTGAAAATAGACGGAAAGTCAAGGACATTCAATCAATTGACTTTAAGCAATACATGCGACATATCTAATAACGGTAGGATGTCTTTTCGCGAAATGTTTAGCCTTGATAGCCTTGGTTTAGCGCGATTGGTCCTCTCTTTCTCTCTCTCTCTCTCTCTCTCGTAAATGATTAAAAAAAAAAGAAAGAAAAAAATCGCCTAGTAAAATTCTATACGTCTGTATAAAAATTAGGCAAAGAAAAAATCATGATCATGACTTTTATTCACCTATCTTTCTCTCTTTCTCTCTCTCTCCTCTCTCTCACATACACTCCCTTCTTCTTTATCTATCAATATGTCTCTCTTTTTCTCTTTCTTTCTCTCTTTTTCGTTATAAAACAGCGCTATCAGAAAATAAATACATAAATGTTGGCTTCCTCTAAATTTATAGTGCTAAGAGAGGCACGGCACTTGGTGTTTTTCTTCTTTCTCGTTTTTCCCTGGCATACATGATTTTTTTTTTTTATCGAGCTTGAGAATTCTGCAGCATCAGTTTAATCTTCTCGTATGCGTACAACAAATTATCCGCCAATCCTTTACAACAACCATTTTCCTGAATGGTCTGGAATCTGTAAGTCTTGAAGTTTTTGTCATGATCGATGTAGGTAACTGCAGTCATCAATGGACACATAATGATCTTTGCATGATCCAGGAAGTTGATCTGAGAAGTAAATAAATAGTTTTATTTATCTCGGAGCAAGAGCAACACAATATAAAATTTATAACATATCAATAACAAGAATGCTATTAAATGTGAATTATGTTCTCTCGCTGTTTAAGGTGATGCTAGACCCGTCTGTATTATCGATAAAACTAGCGTTTTTGACGTTTTCGTTCCTGTCTAATTTTTTCATAATAGTTTCGCAGAATACAAATTCCTCTTCCACGATTTAAATATTCATGCTAATGTATTTGTCCCTGGTCTATATTGTGTCTAAAGCCGGAAAAAATATAAAATTACAGATTTCTTTATCCATTTTATCTTCAGCGTTGGTCGGCATACTGAGGTTAAACGAATAAAGAAATCTATGATTTCATACTTTTTTCAGTTTTGGACACAAAATACACCAGGTACATTAGTCCGAATATTTAAATCGTGAAAAAAAAAATTTTTATTCTACGAAACTACATATTATGAAGAAAGACAGGAACAAAAACGTCAAAAGCGTTAGTTTTATCGGTAATATAGCCTTCAGCATCCCGTTAAAATATGTTAAAATACATAAAAATACATAAATTTTAAATTGTCCAAAGAAAAATATAACGCATTTTATTGCAAAACAAAAATGAAAATTGTAAAAAATTAAAAAACAAAAATAAAATAAAAATAATAAGTCATCACATTATATTATTTTTCAATAAGTGCAATAGATAATAATAATTATATAGAAAGTGACACATAACTTCATATAGATGCAATCAATTTGTTTCGGATCAAAGTTTTGAGTTTGATCTTTATCTCAACCATGCTTTATAAGAAATTCAAAAAAGTAAAAATTTAGAGTGAAAGTGTTGAGATTATAATTTATTTCGAGAACAATAAGCAATATATGCTTAGTCATCTTCTTAATAGTAATCATCCTTCTTAATAGTAATCATCCTTCTTAATAGTAATGTATTCATAATTTAACAATTAATCATTTTTATTTCATCTTTTTACATGTACGTATATGTATATACACACACGCACACATATACACATATTTACTTTCATAAAAATTGATTAACACTTACTTGTACTGTGCCATTGGTCAGTTGCATTACCACAGCTGTCTGAGTCCTAAACCACTGATGTATATAAGGTATTCTAGAAAGAGAGTCACTCTGTTTCACTGCAATAGAGCCACCTGCCTTCATCAGGTGCTCATTCATGTATTTCAAAAAGAAGTTCATCAGTTTCATTTTCTTTTCGAGACTGGCAGGATACTCCTTGACCGTGTAATACAACTCATCGCCCTCACGATTGATGTAGTGAATATTGTAACCATTCGCCATCATAATCAATCGTGTGCCATCGTTGTACATCACGCCGACGCTATCATCAGACAATTGATACCCGAAACCGTACTTGTCCGAGTAGTCCACCCACTTGCTGATCCAAATCACAGGTTGCGCTGCCGGATCAGTCAATTCGTCTGCAAATTTTCAAAGATTTTTATAACAATTTTATATTTTGACTACAATAATACTGAATACAAGAACTATAATTAATTCCAGTTGTTTTGTGTAGGTTTTGTATATACATATATACAGCGCATTCCATGTATTAGGAGTATCCATGTATTAGGAATCTATCTAAAAAGGAACTGCTTAGGATTTTTAATATGATCATATAAATATATTCTTGAGAAATTTAAGAACTATCATATAAATATATTTTGCATATTCTATAAGGTCAAAGAAATAAGGCACTTTGCATTCAAAATATTGAAGGCAAAGCGTCTTATTTTTAAGACATTTTTCTAATATTTACAGTTAAAATTACAAAATATACAAAGTTTTCATAGACATAAATATTTTAAGATTTTTCCCGTACTCAGAATGAAAGACGTTAACTTTGATAAGGAAAATATGTATGTTGAATATTACAGATATTTATTATTTTAAGATATTTATTTATTTCTATTTTGTTAAGAATCATTATATAGGCAATGTGTAATATGAAGGTCAGTAAGCTAAAAGTCTATAGTGGCACCATCTATTGTATAATGACAATCAGAAGCGCACGCATCATCGTCGGGCGTATGTGCAAGAGGTTATTGAAAAATACACGTAAATAAACTTCACAATTTTTTGTAATTTTGGTCTCGGTTTTTATACATTTACCTTTGAGTAACAAATAATGTATCTACATATACAATAGTATATATATATACACAATTGTATATATATATATATATAATAGTATATATATAACATTGCGTTTCTTCTATATAAGTTGAAGAAAGACCCGTGATCCAAAACGTTACATTATATGATATAAATCTCAAAAATTAATATAGAACAAGAGAATTTTAACATACCTGCTGAAGAAACTGACTCCCTAGCAGGCTTAGTTCTCAACACGGAACCTATCTGCTCTTTCAACGTCTGAAGCATCTTCCTGATATCGAGGTTGACTCTTTGTGGCTCAGCGATTTCACTATTAGGTTTAGTTTTTCGTGATGGGCTGCTCGGCACTCGACAGGAAAGAATGTCTTGCTCCGTGTAACCGTTGAGGTTCATTTCACCGAGTGGTTTACGATTGCAGTGTGATTCGAGCATATCCAAACGTGGTGCCATTGTAAGACATGAAAGTGGCAAACTCGTTGGCAAGTATCCTACAATAATAACAGATGTCATAAACGTTACAATTTTTCTGTGTTAGGTCAACCTTAATATTTGGAATTAAAATTAAAAAGGCTACATCAATTGAATAGAGAGAGAGAGAGAGAGTATTAAATTAACCAAATGTATGATTACAATTATGACGCTTACATCGCTAATTTGATAATTTCATTTTTTGGAAATTGATCGTATTATCGGTCATCATCATTACTAACTCAATTTTTCTTGTCATTATTAGTGCAGTCCTCACATATGCTATATCGAATTTCATTTGAATGTTTGCCATATTGTGATCGCAAATAACCAAAACTCTTTTAAATTGATGCACCAAAATTCTTTTAAACTAATAACAGTTTTTAAGATAAAAACACAAAATAAGTCCTATATATTACAAAAATAAACTGGAGAGAATAATAAAGGACAATAGGAACCGGGCGCAGAAGACATCGCACTATTAAAAAATACCACTAATAAGTGATAAAAATCATTTATTCGAATAACGCTCTTTTATTATAATAGCGCTATTACATGTTTCAGTTAACTTCTTAGCCTTCTTCAAAGAAACAAACTAATTTTTTTATTAGTGGTGTTGTTTAATTGCATGATGTTTTCTGCGTCCGACTCCTATTGCCCTTCATTTTCTCCAATTTGTTTTTGAATTATAAGGAGTCTTAATTGATTTTATTATTATAAGATTCCTGTATATTAATCATAATTATCAAAAGTTCTTTAAATTTATTTTCAACAAGTAATAATCAACGAAAAAACCTTAAGCATGGGTAAGACAGCAATCACACTATATAATTAATGTATTTTTTTAAATTTTAATTTAAAATATTAAGGATGACTATAGTAAGATCAAATCGACTTATTATTATATATTTGTTATTATTATAGGTTTTAATTATATAAAGTTGTGTGCGCAAAAAAATATTCTATGTTGGCTTTCATGCTGCTGTTTAATTATTACTAACAAATTTAAATTATAGAAAATTAACATTACAATAAGAAATAATATAATTTATTTTATCACACACACAAGTCTGTTATATAATTGACAGAATTGCATTGCAAAACCACCTACATTAAATAATTTGATTTTAATTAAAACATTGATGTCTTACCAGAAGTAAAGAATGTATCTTTCATTAGTTTGACAACGGACGGACGTTTTGAAGGATTCAATTGTAACATGTTTGCCACCATATTCATGGCAGGTTTACCAATATGTTGCGGTGTCTTATACTGCACTTGTTTGATCCTTGAATACGTCTCTTTCAGACTCGATGTCTCGAAAGGCGGCTTGCCGACAAGTAGAGTATACATTATACAACCAATACTCCATATGTCAGCCTCATAAGAGTGTCCGATTTTTGTGAGCACTTCTGGTGCGATGTAATTTGGAGTACCGCAAACAGTCCTTTAAAAATTTCGATTTTCACCAATCAAATGATGTAACAAAATTTTGTGTATAATTATAATATTAAATTTTTAAAGGACCGTCAATGTAATAACTAATACGAATCGAAAACTATAACAGTCTAGTTGGATTTAATTCGTGATAGTACTGTGGTAGTGTATTAGAGTTGCGTTTCAAGACCGACAATTGCTCGGCGCAGTTTAGAAAAATTGTATTGGGTATGTTAAGTTAGCACCCCAACTATAGTACTCAGGAGTTCTGATTAGAGTTCCCACTTCCTTTTGACGAGACGAAAAGTTCCCTATAGTTAATAACAAGAGTTCCGCTCAATAAACTGTTTTTTTTACATTTTGAAAAAATGGGGTGCTAACTTTTTATCGAATTTCGAGGTGGAATAGTTCTGAGCGGCTTAATAGCTTCAATTTGCGATTGCCTAGAGTACCTGATATGTAAAAAAAATTTTCGAATATTAAAAAAAAAATTAAAAATTTTTGAAAAATTAATTTTTAGATACAGTAGTTCTGATGATAACTCCTGCTTCTTTTTGACGATACGAAGAGTTCTCTATGATTTTTAATGATATATGTGCTTAATAATCATTTTTTAATAATTTTGAAAAAGTGGGGTGCTAACTTTTTAGCGAAATTCAAGGTCTCATAGTTCTGATCAGCTTAACAGAACTATTTTGTGAATACCTAGAGTTCTTGATATATAAAAAACATTTTTGAAATATAATAAAGTTTAAAAAAAAATAGTGGAATCTTTGAAAATTTTTTTGAAAGTACCGAGTAGTTCTGAGTTGCGTTTCTTATAGTACTCGACGAGTTCTATCGAAAATTATAAGGTGAAAAAGCGATTGGACCAACGGTTTGCAAGATACAGCGACATTTGTCGGAAGATCAACAATTTTTAGAGTGAGTATATCTCGGAAACCGTTGGTCCAATCGCTTTTTCACCTTACAATTTTCGACAGAACTCGCCGAGAACTGTCCAGAACTCTGATCAGAACTACTCGGTACTCTCAAAAAATTTTCCGACGTGGGACTTTGAAAAGAATTTTTGATCAAAAATTTTTTGGGAGTACCGAGTAGTTCTGTTTGGAGTTCTGGACAGTTCTCGACGAGTTCTGTCGAAAAGTATGAGGGTTCAAAGCGATTGGACCAATGGTTTCTGAGATATACTTATTTAAAAATTGTATGATCTTACAAATTTAACAAATGTCGCTGTATCTTACAAACCGTTGGTCCAATCGCTTTTTCACCTGACCGTTTTCGATAGAACTCGTCGAGAACTTTAAGAAACACTACTCAGAACTACTCGGTACTCTCAAAAAATTTTCCGACGTGGGACTTGGAAAAAAAATTTGAAGTTGAAATTTTTTGGGAGTACCGAGTAGTTCTGATCGGAGTTCTGGACAGTTCTCGGCGAGTTCTGTCGAAAAGTATCAGGGCTCAAAGCGATTGGACCAACGGTTTCCGAGATATACTCTAAAAATTGTTGATCTTCCGACAAATGTCGCTGTATCTTGCAAACCGTTGGTCCAATCGCTTTTTAACCTTATAATTTTCGATAGAACTTGTCGAGTACTATAAGAAACGCAACTCAGAACTACTCGGTACTCTCAAAAAAATTTTCAAAGATTTCTACTATTTTTTTTTGAACTTCATTATTCTTCAAAAATGTTTGTTATGTATCAAGAACTCTAGGTATTCACAAAATACTTCTGTTAAGCTGATTAGAACTATGCGACCTTGAATTTCGTTAAAAAGTTAGCACCCCATTTTTAAAAAATTATTAAAAAATGATTATTAAGCGCATATGTCATTAAAAATCATAGAGAACTCTTCGTATTGTCAAAAAGAAGCAGAAATTATCATCAGAACTATTGTATCTAAAAATTAATTTTTCAAAAATTTTTAATTTTTTTTTTAATATTCGAAAATTTTTTTTACATATCAGGAACTCTAGGCAATCGCAAATTAAATCTATTAAGCTGCTCAGAACTATTCCACCTCGAAATTCGATAAAAAGTTAGCACCCCATTTTTAAAAAATGTAAAAAAAATGTTTATTGAGCGGAACTCTTGTTATTAACTATAGGGAACTCCTCTTCGTCTCGTCAAAAGGAAGTGGGAACTCTAATCAGAACTCCTGAGTACTATAGTTGGGGTGCTAACTTAACATACCCACATATATTAATATATAAATTCACGCGAAATTATATATAAATAACTAAGATTCAGTTAGACTGTTATAGGCTTCGTATTAGTTATGTAATTATAATAAATAATTATAATAAAATTAATTTACTTTTAGCATGTAAAAATCTCATCAAAACATAGAGTACACATTAAAACTTTACCAACATTTATTTAAATTTAAAAATTTTAAAAATAAAATAGAGAGAACTTAAAAATAAATAAAATATAATTTAATTTTTCTAAATTTAGCGTTAATAAAATTATTTATAGCAACAGAGATGACACATTTATTATAACTGATGTATTTAAAAATAATAATTACTTTTTCCGTTCACCGTCGTGCTCCAATCTGGTTGCTAATCCGAAATCACCAATCTTGACTTGCAAATCATCGTTTAAAAACAAATTACCTAATTTTAAATCCCTGTGAATTATTCTGTGCTGGTGCAGATAAAAAACTCCTTCTAAAATTTGCTTCATGAAGTATCGTGTTTCGCATTCCGACAGCGCTTTCCTGCGCTTGTGCAGTTCCATCATCGACTACAACATTAAACCATTATAAGACTATCATAATTGGCACTTGATACTTGCAAAGTAAGTACTGCTATACCCTCTTGCGACAGAGTTCCAGGATGATGTAAATATTATTGCTATCGTCGAAGAAGCCGTGAAAGCCAACGATGTGTCTGTGACTCAAGCTCTGGTGAATCGCAATCTCCTGTGTCATTTTCTCTCTCTGATTGCTTTTTGCCATCAGTGACTTTGGCACGATTTTCCCCGCGAATACATGGTGAGACTTTGACTCTGTGATTTCGTAACATTTTGCAAAGCCACCCTATGGAGTAATGGACATAAAATCAAATAAAGAATAAAACTTATAAAAATTATTTAAAAAAAGAAAGGAAAAGATAAATTTAAAAAAAATAAATAAATAAATAATAATATTTTAATTATTTATAACTAAAAGAAATTCAAAAGATAAAATTCTATTCACTTATGCTACATATTTTAATATACGTATATAATTCAACAAATATTTTATACATGTACTCTGATCTTTCTGTGATGTTAAAATCTTACCATATGATACATAAAATTATAAACAGAATTTTTCACTCTAAATTTTAACATAAACTCTAGAGTCTTTAAAAGATTTAGTACCCGAAAAGTAGTATAATTTAAAATAAAAGAAAAACTAGGACGATTGCTATATGGAATAGACACAATATTGTAATTTACGTATATGTGTATATAATCTTAATTACACAGTAAATATTTTTATGTATATATATTTTTATGTATATATATTTTTATGTATATATATAAATTATGCTTATGTATAATATCTTATATATTTATATGTAATACATGTAACAGTAATAAAATAAGATGTCCAAATTAAAAGCACTTTTCAAAACACTCAATGGCTGCATTCAGCAGACTCAATAGTTTTACTCAACCATTTTATGATTCGTCTCGCTGATTGGATTATACTTTTAGATCTAAAGGAATAGTCCTATCTCAACGAAGAATCATAAAACAATTGTAAAACTGTTGCGTCTGCTAAACGCAACCAATTATAACAGTGTATGAGTACAGCTTTCGTAAAAAAAAAAAGCTCCACATATAATAAAAAAAGATATAATTTAAAAACTTTAATTTTTTAACAATAAGAAACACATTTAAGCAATCCTTAATGAAACTTCCTCAGTTTTCTAATATTAATTTTACCAATGTAAATAAATTTTAATTTCGGTTTAATTAATTTTTTGTATTGTAATTCTTAGATTAGAGAAGATTACTTAATTATTTCTCTATAAAATTTCCTGAATTTTGTAATGTCAATATCTACCAAGGTAAATTAACTTTAATCTTAATTTAAGACCTTGGCTTACTCTTTATCTCTTTTCCAATGTTAGAACTAGAAAGAGACAAAAAATAGATAAGTTAAACCAAGATTAAAGTAATTAATATGAGATTGCATTCCTTTCGAGAAACATAAATAATTCCTATCTTTATTATTTATTAAATACCAAGAAAGACAGAAAGTTTGTCAGCTGTGTCTTCTCTAAAAAAATAACCCGAATTAGTAAAAATAGTCATAGACAAGTTGAAGAGTAATTTTTAATACAAACTATTTCTGAAATCTCTGAAGTTGAAACAAACGTGACGTTTCAACGTTCTTTTACAATTAAATCATCCCACGTCTCTTTGTACGAATCGCGTCCTCGGTACGAGTGCAACAAGTGTTGGGCGCCGAAGTACCATGTTTACACGTGTGTATGGGTGTATATATATATATATATATATGTATACGCATGTCGCGGAAATTGCGAAGAACATGATAGTATGAGAATAAGATTACATTTGCACATTTTTGTCGTACGATAAAATTTTTCATGTCTGTTTTGGCTGCAAAACAGAGATTCTCGGATCTTATGGCCAATCAACAGGCTTGAAAAATCTGTCGTACAACAAAAACGCACAAACGTAATCCTATCCCGAGTGAGCAAGGTCAAGGGGAAGGCGAACAGCTCAAGGCGCAGTGATCGCTCATTACCTTTCCAAAGAACCGGCCCTTCATGTAACTCTTGCCGGTGTTCGCGTCGTATATTACGTTCGGTATAGTACTCTCCTCCTCATTCGACATCATGCAATCGATGCAATCACAATGGTAAACAGACCCGCTGTCGTTATCACCGTCAAATGTGGTGATATCACTCGATGATGCCGCGTGGCTGTCAGACACGTCTTGCCGCTGCCACTGTCGTGGATCCCGATCTGCGGCTTCGCCCCTCCAAAATCACGTTACCGGCCGGCAAAGAACCGCGCGTATCCTATATACTTCAACGACTGATAGACGACTCACGTTATGCCGGTTGATCGGTTCTCAATCGTTCCTCCGTGTTGTAATGTGAGAAATAGAACCGTGGTGAGGATGCAATGGGAAGAGGAAAAGAAGAGCGAACGGCCGTGAACACGGACACGCTACCGTACCGCAGGAACACCCACTGAACTCACTGCTCACCGTACTTCTGTTCAATTCAAACCGCCTAGCACTCACCGTCGCGAAAGACGTGCAACGGCTCGCTGGTTTAAATGACGCACGGCCAACCAATCGCCGCGCGCGCCGGCTGGGTCACGTGGCTCGGCGGGAGCGAGCGCGCGCCACCGTGCGGTCATCGACCTCACTTAACACGATTTCTCTTTCGTAATTTGAGACCGCTTGCAAGAAGTATGTTCTTTTTTTAATTGAATACTTTATGCCAATACTTTATGCGTCTCTTTATGCCTAGTTCACACTAGGCGCGATGAGCGATGCGCGACGAGCAATAACCAATAAGAACTCTGCTTTACATCGTCGTGTGAGCTAAAGCAAAGCTTTTATTGGATATCGCTCGTCGTTCATCGCCCATCCCATCCAGGGTGAACTTGGCATTATTGTAGAAGGCCCATAATAGGTAACAGCTTTTGTCCAGTTTGAACGCGTCCAATGATCTATAGGCTATTTCAGACTCGACGCATCATTGCATCGCATCTGCTAATGGCAGAAGTCATTTTAATCATTCTGAGATGAAAATTCTAATACCACATATATGTATAAATGTCCAAGGAAAATATTTTTTTAATATAATAAAAATCAATAATGTAGAAATATTATATATTATATTTCATCTTCGCCTACATAATATTTATATCAATATTAACAATAGGCAACTATTTGCTTTTACTTTTTGTTGTATCACACCTAACACGTAAATTTTAAATGGTATATAATTTGCTAGCTTTAAATGACTATAATTTAAAAATTATTATAGACTCGACATTTTAGGATTAGAATTTTTGTCTCAAAGTAACTTCATCAGGAATCTACTATTACCATCAGGTGGTGCATCGAGTTTGAAATACTCTGTATATACGCATAATTTACATATAAAATGTTGATTATTACAATATCAAATATTATTTAAGGTCAAAGTCAATAAAACCTGGTTCCCTGTAATAAATAATCATCAAATATTTATATTATTATAAGATACAATAATAATAAATTAATGATATATTTATAGAAAAACAACACGTGATACATTAAAATTTATTATATATAGTGAACTTGTATAATTCCGTCATTAAGGATTACAATAATACAACCTAATAATTTACTAATTTGATATACATTTTTTATGTATTATATATACAGCCTTTAAATAAACTGTAAATTTATACTGATGCTATTGGAGGTTAGAGCTCGCGGTTGGCGGCGTAGATGAATAATAATGATGTGCATTGACTCACGCTGTCCTTGCAAATCAATCCTTCTTTTTCCGCTTAATGCTGCGAATTAGATGGACAAATCTTCCGAACTGTCATGCGCGTGCGTGAGTACGTTATTGAACACGTGATCAATCTCAGGCTCGTACTGATATTACGTCTTTCTTTCGCAAAACTTTAAATTATTAATGGCTCTTTGGTATTACTTACGTCAATAATTATTGTATGTTAAACGCTTTATGTTAATTATTCAGTATTGATGTGTGTGTTATGTGTAGTAAAGAAATTGTTTGAAGAATTTATTAAATTTTATATCTCAAATAATGTTGTTGCGCTATTATATATTTAATAACTTTTGCCTCATTTTTTGCACAGATATAATGATATTATTAACTGTATAATAAATAAAAAATATGTTAAACTATTTCAGATTTTGTAAAATTTTTTCAGAAATTAACTTAGAATTTATCAGAATTTACATACATGAAAAATTTTAGAAAAGATATAGATCGAGTCTTTAGACACTTTTAAGGAGATGCTGGAGTGCTTCTGTTTTATCATTACTTAGTTAAAGACTCGTTTCTCTTAATTGCATTTACGGATGGAAAAATCATTCTGCATAATTAAAGTCGACAACAATGAATTTATTGCGCTAGCTACATTTCAATACGAAAAACGGAAGAAAATTAAAAACTTACAGTTTCGTTATCGGCTTCTGTGATTTTCGATAACGAAACTGTACATTTTTTTTCCGTTTTTCGTATTGAAATGTAGCTAGCGCAATTCATTGTTGTCGATATACTTTAATTATGCAGAAGGATTTTTCCATCCGTAAATGTCCAGCATCACCTTAAGAAGTTTCAATTTGTATAAAAAATCAGAGAAATATTTCAAAAAGTTATAAAATTATTTTAAAAAATTCTGAAAAATGCTGCATATAAGTTTTCATACATTTCTAAAATTTGATACTGAAAAAATTTTAAAAACTTCTGAAATTGCATAAAAATTTTCATGAATTATATGAAAAGTTACTGAAAAATTTGCGACATGTCGATAAAATGTACGGCTACAAATGATACCCACCATTTCATTGAAATCTGTACGCACCTGGGTTGAGTAACAGCGTCTGCTAGCGGCCTGTCGCCGCGCAGGCGCCGAGGAGTGTGCCCTTCCAATTTTACAATTTCACAACATTACTTCCGCTACGGGTAGCCGACGTCCATTTTGCTTGCTTGTTGGTGTGAGCGTTCCTGTTTTATGAGCAGTTTTTATAGTCGCCTGCTTATCGTAAGTAAATATTAATCTCTGTAAATTGTGTCGTTTCATGAATCCGCGATTTCGGATCTTTGCTCACGAGTTTAATTCAATTAAATTTGAGATCGTGTTTCCGAGACGCGTTCTCGCGAAGACATTTTCATAGAACTTTCTGAGATAGCGTCGGTAGTCATACACCATGGCTCGCTGTATTTTCTTAAAACTCGCCGAAATCTGAATAGAATAGAAGCAAATAAAAAGATCCACGTATAACATACGCACGTAATTCGGTATTTCAGCGTAGAAAGGAAGAGCGAGGGTGAAAGGGTTTCGATTATTTTTTTTTATATTTAAATTTTTTGTAGTATAAATATACAATAATTTATAATATTAATAATATTTACATGTAAAGGCACTGATAACGTGTATGTATACAATATCTTTTGTTGAAAGAATTTAGTAAAAAATTTTACTGAATTGCTTTCAGATTAGATAAATGCATGCATTATAATCCACGGGACTGCAAATCTAGGGCTATGTTCAGATTCCCACCCGAGTGCCACTCAGGTATCCTTCTATCCTTATTGTTTGCCAAATGTTAAACAAGGATGACACCCAGGGAGCACTCGGGTGGGAATCTGAACACGCCGTAACGTGTTCTGGGAGTTTCTAAATTCTAGAATCTCTTTGATCCTTTAATTTTCTTGGATTCTATTAATTCTGAAATATTTGTCAGTCCTCAAGCTTTGATTTTTATAGATTAGTGCTGTTCAAGATTTATAATTCTAAGCATTAGCTTGATATGTGTCAGCTGCCTGTTGCTCTCCTTTTTTTTATCTCCATTAAGAAAAAGGAAGATAATAGGCATCAAATTTTTTTTTCATTTGTAACACAAATCAATTTAGATTGTTTTATCTTTGTTATTTATTGAAAAATGCCAAAAAGAAAACAGAATGATGTTTGTTAGTGTCTTCGACTATACAGGTTTTGATTCATCAATTCATGTTGGATTAATAACGCTATACAAGCTTTAATATTGGTAGAGCAAGTAACATCAATTAATAGCAAAGCTTAATCCCAAATTGATTTAAAACCTGTTACATACGAAAATGCTATGTGTCGACTTGTGTCACTATGGAAAACATCTATAAATATTGGGTGTTTATTCACAAAAATGGCGAATTATTTTATTCTTGTTTTATGTTTACAAACAAGAATATGATTTACTATATTATACTAATGTCTATTTCTATCCACAGTTTAATTTTAAGTCTCAGTTCAACTAACTTTTTATCTGTTTGTAATTATAAGATCTTTTTTCAATGCTTAAAATTAAAAATTAGAACAGATAAACTGTGTAAGAAATTCAACTACAAAGAACTTGCTACATATTGCTAAAAAACCATCCACTGATACATATCAAGCAAATGTCCACAATTACAAATCTTGAACAGCTGATCTATAAAGTTAAAGCTTAAAAGTATTAAAAATTTTCGAGATTAATTATTATAAATACTTATGTTATTATATCTTGAAATTTTTAGATCTATAATTCTAGATTTGATATATACCGTGTGTTTCATTTTAATCGCCCCAGGCAAATATCTCGAAAAATATGGAAGATATGGTATATATATGTATAGATATAAATAAAAATATATTACAGGAAGTTTGAACAATGGAAGGAGGAGCACCAGGAGGAGGTAGAGGTAGTTTTCGAGGACGTGGAGGCCCTGGTGTAGTAATGAGGGGACGTGGCGGTTTTGGAGAGAGAGGAAGGTAAAGAACTTATTGAAACAAGCTTATTGTAAAAAAAAAATCTGCATTAATGATTACAACAGAAACTGGCCATTAAGATGCCATTTTTTTATTGGTTTGCCATTTTCTAGCCATTTGTGTTATTTCAAGTAAAATAATATAAACGTTTTCCTTTTTTGCACTACTCCAGAGCGATAAAATATATCTTTTCTCGCTTGCAAAATTTGGCTGATGAACGACACTCTTTGAATAACCAATTTTATGTAATCATGATATCGTAATGTTTAAAGGATCAAATGGTAAATAAGTATTGTATTATAATATTTTAAAAACGAAATCCAACTCTATGCAAGCTTTATATAAAAAGAAATTGAAAAGGGTTTTATGACAATATTACTTTCAAGAGATAATAAAATATGGGCTGAACAGATACATATCTGCATGAACAATGAAAAGATAGATTCATTTATTTATAACTATTTAAAAGCCAAGTTGCAAAAGCTGGTTTTGTAGAAATTTTTGTAGTTTTATAAAAAAAAACAAAATAAAAAATGTTTATATAAAAATATTTCTTCCATAAGACAAAAAATGGAGTACAAATTCATATCTACCTGCATTATGAATACAGATCAATTAGCCCGACACTCCTGCTACACCTTTATATTCTAAAGAAACAATTTGCTACAGGAAGAAACTCTAAAATATTATTATACATTGCTTTTTTATAATTATTTTCCATTCTTTTAATTATAGAAAGGAAATATGGTGTAATGTATGAAGGAAAGAATTTAATCAAATTGTACAAATAGAGATGCTTATGTATGTAATATGAGTCAATATGAAAGAAATAATTAATATATTTATTTTGCAACAGAGGTGGTCCTCCACGAGGTGGCAGCATGATGCGTGGTGGACGAGGCAATGGGCCTGGCGGAAGAGGAGGTCCACCTATGAGAGGTCGAGGCGGTCCTCCTGGCAGAGGTGGACGAGGTGGACATTTTCCTCCAGGGTAAGCATTTCTTAATATATATACTTTATATTTTGTATTTTAATAAAATTGGTTATATTTTGTAAAATATTTAAATTTATCATTAATTTATAAATTTTTTATATTAATTTTTTCCAATAATATGAAAATGATAAATGTTATACATTATTAATATAATATATTACTTTGTACTAATATATGTTAATAAATTTATCGCAAAATGTGAATTTTTGTACGTGAAATGCTGTATTAAAAGTTCTTAAATAATAAATCATATATTACAAGATCTTATATATATAATAAATTATATATTTATTTATAATAAAGGTTTATAAGTATAAAGTATTAAGAGAGTTAAGTAATATTATAAGCTAAAATGACTTTATTGATCATTTAAAAGACCACCAGAAGGAGGAATGTCTAGTGGACCTGGAGGTGGTCCACCACCCTTAGGAATGGGTGGTCCTCCACGAGGAGGTGGCGGAAGGGGTGGCGGCAGTAATAGCTTCCGCAACAGAGGCAGAGGCGACTTCGGCAGAGGAGATAGCCGCGGAGGTAGCAACAATTTCCGAGGTCGTGGTATGGATAGGGGTAGAGGAGGATCTAGGTGAGAGAGTTAACTCTTAGCTCTAAAATTTATTTATGTAATAATGAGTATTTTTTTTAAACGTTTTGAAAAAAAAAAACTAGAAATTTAGCACAATGATTAATGACAAAATCAAGCATAGAAATTACAATATGAAAAATATACTATAGATATATATGATGCTCCCACCTTGTAAGTTAAAGAGAATTTTATTAATGGGATTATATTTTTATTCAAATACAATTTATTGTTTCAGAGGATCAAGCAGAGGTGGACCAAGTCGTGGAGGTGGCTTCGCCGATCGTGGTGGTCGGGGGGCTGGTGGACGTGTTGGTCCTACGAAACGAGGAGGCCCACCTAGCTCGAGTGGACCCTCCAAGAGGCCGCGTTTTGATCAGGCGTCTTCCCAGCCATCCAATGGTTACGCCACTCAACCACCAAGGTAAATATCAAGAAATTTTCTTTTTATTGTAACATTCAAAGGCATTTTTTTCTTGAAAGCTAAAGATTGAAAATTAATTTAACGTATATATAATTTCGGTCATGTGTTTATTATATATTGACCATTAATTGAAGTTAATCTTTTATGCGAGCTGTATATATATTTGTAATATTTAAATTTTAAATGTATTAGTGTTTATTAAATTTTAAGATAATTAATGAGGCAATAGAAAAAATTATTAAAATTGTACTACTTAAGATATTTTATATTTCTCATACTTTTGTACTATTTTTTAATTAATATTAGAAATTGTAGCTTGATGTTGAAAACACCTACTACCATTAAATATGTTTAATCTTTTGTCAAGAATAAATTAATTTAGTTATAAGACTTTTTATGACATATTATAAAAGATACGAGGTTAAACTATTTAAGCTAAGCATTTTCTAAAAATTGTATTTTCGGTTTCCAAAAACATACCTTTTTTTAGAAATAATAGATAATAACGAATTAAAAAATATTCAACATATAATAATACAATAAATAAATAGTTACAATTTATACTTTGTACATAGAAGTCCAAAAAAATAATGAATATAAGAGATAAAAATGAATGTATTAACATATTTTGCTTTTGAATAATAATTTAGCCAAGGCGGTTATGGAGGTTCAAGTAACGCCTACAGCAGCCAACAACCGCAGCAACAACAGTCCGTAGGATACGGCAGTGGTGGCTATGGCTCACAGCAAGGTTACACGCAGTCTTATCAGGGCTATGAGAGCTACCAACAGCCTCAGGATTATGGACAAACGGTAAATAATTATTTGAATATGTATATGCGAGACAATTCTGAAAACAATTCAAATACAAATTATTTTCAATCATTTAAGGCTCCTGAGTAGTTGCGACGGCCATGTTGAAATTGTGATGTCATAGACGAGAAATGCACATTAGATTTTTCTGCATGCCGTTTGTAAATAAAAACTATTTGGATAAATGTAAATAACGAGATTGCTTAAAAACACTTGTAAAAATTGGCGGAAACTGTCCTTTCCTTCTTTGATAGTCAGTAAATGATCGTAAAGAGCACGTAAAGTGAGCCTATACTCGGGCAGAAACACACAGTTTAACAGCTGATGAAACGAGTGAAATATACGCTTTTACGTATAAAATTTCAAGATAATTGTAGTTTCCACCCTTTTTTGGGACTTACAAGTACGAGGCAAGTTATGTTTTCACAAATAAAGAAATATTAACGAAATGGGGAGCAAGAAAAATTTTGTCGTTAAAACGTCACTTTTCCACGCCTATTAATTCAGCCTTTTACCGTGGCGAGGCGTTATAACATACACACAAGTACGAGCCCATGTCTGTGTGCTCGCCTTCGGCTCGAAAATGAGCACACAAACATGAGCTCGTACTTGTTGTGTGATTACCAGGCCGCTGACTAATTCGGTGTCGCTACCATCAACACGAAGTTCTTGGCTGAGTACTCGGACGCCTTAAATACTAAATACATTCTAGATTTTTGAACATTAAATTTAATTAAATTATTTCAAATATATAAATTTAAATATTTATAAAATTACTAATTGTTTTTTCAATCAAAAGAATCCATTATTATTTTGTTTCTCTTAATTCTAGGGTTATCCACCGTCTGCAGCAGATAGCAGATATGGCGGGGCATCATCGGTTCCAGCTGCAGGTTTCGGCGCTAACGATCCATACAGTTACGGCAAAGCTCCGCCATCAGGTGAGTTATAGACAGTAAAACAAGAAATCATGTGTTACATGCGACATGCGTCGTTATTTTTTTATTACATTTTGTGTATATTTGATTCTCGCTAATTAATTTTGATTAATTCTTCATGATCCAATAATTTGTGAAATTATTTTTTTTCCAAAACCTCCAGATCTTGAAATTTTTCTTCCAAAAGTGATATAGATCTTTCTGTAATAATAAGTATAAAAATTCAGATCATAAAGAATTGATTAAGCTTTATGCATTTTTCATGTAACGTTGACGGTACTTATGACAGTACTGATTGAAAGTACTCAAGACGTTCGATAATTACACTAACGGAGTACTTGAGCGTCGAATTGAGTAGGTCGGCGAGACATATACAGTTATTAATATTACATAATGCATGTCTAGTCGATTACCAGGAGGCAGTGTCAACCGCGGGACCGGGGGGCGGGGCCGGTTATGTCTCTGCTAATCCATATGACGACCGATCTAACGCCAACATAATCAACCGGGGTTACTCGACGCAACCTTATGGTTAGTTGTTTCGTTCGCTGTCATCGTCCACATTATACAATTCATTAACGGCCATTGGAGCAATCCTTAAGGACTCATTTATGATAGAGATGAAATATTAAATTATTTGCTCGAATTGATTGTCAGCAAAGAAAGTGTCATGCTATCATAAATTGTATCACGGAGTCATCAGGGAATTTAAATAATTATTAATCTTGATGAAATGTTAATTATAAATTTTTCTTGAAAAATATAAGTAAAATATTAGATTATTATGACAATAAATAATTTATTATATTTTTTTTGTTAAACTTCTAGCAAACCATTGAATTTCAGATATTGTATATAATGCTTATACTCTTTTCTAACAAATAATTTTATGTCTCATTTCCCAATAATAAGTGAGTTCTTGAAGATTGCCACCTAATGTTTTTGTTTTCCGGGTTACATCCGAGTTAACACGATTCCGCAATAAAGCACGATTCCTTTCAGACGAGAAACGTCTTCTGATTTAGACGACAGAAAAAGAGCAAACGCGCGATCAATCCGACCACCGATCTATGTTCTGAAAACTTTGATATTTTTGTGTTTTCTTGAAGTCTCAATGCTATATATTGGAATTGAAGTTTTTTTTATATTCTTGAAATTTTTGTATATTCTCGTTCGGATATTTGGATTTTTATATCGCTAGATCTGTGTAGAATTTTAAACAGTTTTTTTTTCTTTTAATTGTTTTTTTCGCGATCGATGCGAATGAGCTGAGTTACATAAATTTCATTTTGAACGTAATAAGAAATCATACAAAAATTGGATAGCGAATCCTTTCATCGAAACACTAGCACTGCAGCACTGCCTCCTGCCATCTTTCACATTCCAGGATTACAAGGTCCGTGATAAATACAATTTCTTTCTCACCTAAAATAAAAAATATGTTTATGTGTATAAATTATCTCGTTAAATCCTTTATTATTCTTTTTTAATACAATCTTCTACTCTCTCTCTCTCTCCCCCTATTCCTCCCTCTCTTCTTTCCTCCTTTTTTCTTTCTAATTTTATTTATAATATATATTTTGGATTTCTTTCTCTTAATCTATAATTTAATATCGTAATAAAGATCTATTTATTTCTTAGATTTATTTAATTTGTAAAAAATTGTTTTAAGTAGTTAGGCGATATTAATTGATTATATTTAATTAGCGAACTGTCACTTCCTCGTGAAGATGTATTTCATTTTTCTATTTTGTCATGATTGCTTCATCATTCAATCGATCGTTACACCTCAATAAAGCTTTTTGTTATTTTGTTTGAGATATTTCGTTTCAGATATTTCTCGTCTGAGTCATTTGCTTCTATATTTTCAGCATTTTTCATGATTGTTTTATAAATATGTTTTTCTTATGATTGCAGATTATCCAAGTCAGGACGGTGTTTATGGAAAACAGGACTATGGTAAGTACAACTCGCAGTACAGAAAAGTTCATTAATCAAAGGGAAAAAAATTAGTTAAGTTGATTGGGAAAGGAAATTGTGTTTATGTAGAATTTAGACGTAAAATAGATTAAATAAGTAATAATATGACATACAAAAGAGACATTCGGAAGGTATAAAACAGATATCATAAACGATGTGTTAATGTATTAATTTATATACAAGATTTATACGTATACATTTTCGTACTTTTGATGAGGAAAATGTAGGGTATTCTATGAAATTTAGGAAACTTTTGGGTAATTATAGTCGGTGAAATTTTATTATGTACAAAACAATAATCAAAGATATTAAAAATGATTCCGAGAGGTTTATGACTTTGAGAGAGAATTGCGATTCCCATTAATTAAATTATAAGGTCAAATCAAATTTAGTAAACCATGTCGTTTGAAAACCAAATGAAAATTACAGTCAGTACTGAACACAATGTAACGACTTGTAACTTAAAAAATATATGTATCTGTAGGGCTATTATAGACGGAAATTTATAATTTAACTATCTAGTTATGCATTAGATACGAGTGCAGCATTACAAGACATATTTAATGATATTATGAACAGCTATTCTTAGTACACCGAGATATTTATTGCAATATGTCTTACGAGAACATTCGCAGTACTAAAAGAAGTATTTGCAGTTCTACAAAAAAGCGTTTATATTATTACAAGAGCATTTACGATGAGAACATAATAGCACACAGAGAAAGATTTTTATAAGTTTATCCACATATATGAGATTTTTGCAATTCAAGCGTTAGCAAGATTAAAAAACTGTCCACAAATACATTTGCATTATAAATTACAAAACTAATCTACAAGAAGTCCATTTTTTCAGTATTTAAAAATTAAAGCAAATGAAATTGTGAATATATTTATTATACACATGCACATACACACGTCGAAAACATCGAAAAATAGTAGGCAGATAAAGAATTGGTAGCGATATCATACAAGGATCTATATAAGTAGATCGTTCAGTTTTATGTATATGTAGAGAAGCAGGATTACTAATTATATTTCTCGAGTAATGGAACGGAGGAGCTATGGTTGTTTCCAGGTGGCAGTGCTGGTTACCAAAACGCCCAGTCTCAGCGACGTTATTAAAGATATCCGTCACTTAATTAATCAATATCCGCTCATTAATTTTATATCTAAGTAGATAACAATTCTCCCAAGCGAAAGGAAAAAAAAATGCAGAACAGATTGAATCCGTCTCCGATTGCGCGATAAAGGGAATAATGCTTTCACATTTTAAAACTGCGAAACACATTTATTGATAGAAGAACGATGACAATCGAGGAATTTTGAAGCAAGATGACGTAAAATTGTAAAATCGGGATGCGCCTCCTAATAATGTTTGTATATCGAGGGATTTATCTTGCTTTTCACAAAGGTTGATTTGATCATACGTACATAGTGTCAAAAAAGTTGGGAATTAATACTGTTAGGCATATAACAGGTATCTATCGTAATTATCTCATATATGAATATACTCTTTTGCTAAATGCACTTTTTCAATTGTATTTGAAAAATTATTTTACTTTAAACAATTTTTAAAAGATTTAATCTTCTCATTGACTCCCAGCTTTTCTAAGACACTCTTCACGTCACTTTGCTCTCAAGATTTTTTTTCCACTTCTGCTTGCTTTGTCTTCGTCTTGTGCGCGTTGAACGAATTTGATCGACATATACCGCTTGACAACATAGGGGAACACATATTTTATACTTGACAATTAGCAATTAATACACACTACATTATTCACTACGTCGCCTGTACGACAATCTAGAATTAAGTCCCGGTCGAACGATTAATTTTCTCGATCGTTTTCTTCACTATTTGCGTAGCGTAATTTAACATAACAGTAATAACTAAAAAGAAATCACCAATGACAAAAGCGATAATGACGACACTGTAAAGTCAGCGTCCTGTTTTGTATATATAAATAGAAATCATAAATAAACCCTTTTTTTGTGGAGAGGAAAAGTCATGGTAAAACACGCGATATATGGAACTGTGTACTTTATCCCTGAAGGCTTAGAAGGAGAATAATGTTAAACATTGACATAAGCACCTTTTAATATGTCTTGACATTTATTCGTATTGATTAAAACTGATGTCAATTTATATCTATTCAGTTAGATTTAATCGACAATATCGAGAATTCCTTTGGAACTATACTAGAAATATTTTATAACTTATTGTATTACACTTATTTGCCAAAATTTTATTATTCACTGTAATTTTTTGATAATATTAGATTCATTTATTATTTATTTTATATAATTTATAATTACATAAATAATAATTCTGCAATCTATAACCTGGATAAATAACTGTCATGACCGCCGTCGATGATCAGTTATTAGCAGTTTATTAATGTTATATTGGAGATAAAATCATCAATTAACAATTATAATAAATTCTTATGAAATATCAATTTTTCATGGAATTCAACAAAGTTACCGATTTTGTTGTCTTTAACGATTAGCTATGATTGCAGAGAAAAAGTGAGTCTCGATATGAGATTTCTTTTTTTGGCAGAGAATTCAGTCAAAAGTCGAATAATATAGTGAATTTAACAATTCAGTTATATAATGTCTAATTCTCTGTCGTGTATTATTTTATATTAATTAACGAAACTCGCTTAAAATAATTTGTATTGTTTATTGTATATGATACATCTTTTACGAATAACTATATAGCGCATCATGTTGTTATGTCCCGATCTATTGTAAACGATCGCTCAATGAAAATGAAAGAAACATTGAAAAAAATGAAGATCGAGAACATCAATACATCAAAGACTTACCCTTACCCTTATTGTCACCTTACCTTATAGCACGAGAAACAGAGAAAAAGTGGACGAGACACGCAAAAACCAGCAACTGCCCTAGGAAGACAAGCTAATCAAAAAGACTGAATATGGGCGAATAAGTATGATAATTGAGACAAAAGATTATCTCGGTAATATAGTAATAAAAAGTAGGTATATATGTGAACATTTTTGGGAAACATGGTAGATTAAATGCCATTTCGAACCGAGCCACTCTTTCGTCTATGAATTTTTCGATCGTGTGCAATCGATTTTTTCTTTAATAAAAATATCAAAGCATTATTAGATTGTAAGCAATTTAGAATAAAATATTTTTCAGAAAGAGTAAGTCCTGAAGACGTGGCGTGAATAGAAATTTTTACATTTTTGTCGAAGACTAATTAGAGATGTGTTCAATGTTAAACGAATAATGACCTCTTGTTCGACGTTTTTAGTAAGAAAAAATCGACTTCGAACTGGGAAAAAAATACATGGACGAAAGATGAAAACTCGGATTTAAGAGATAATATATATCCAGTTAGAAATATTTAGTTAGAAAAAAAGATAAAAGTAAAAATTAGATAACATTTGAAGAAAATTATGAGTTTGTGAAAGTGTATGTAAGTTTAAAGATTTTATTCTCTAAAGCATATAACAAATTTCACATATCTATTAATTTCAAAATAACATTACTATTTCAGGAATATTTCACCCCTGAGTCATACGTAAACGTAGCGTTGGAAATAGACAAGCCCAGATATAAGGCCCGACATCTCTTAGTAGTTTCTAAAAGTTCAATCATTATTAGTATACAATACTGTTTGAGTATTATTACTTAAGAAATATGATATATATATATATAAATATATTTACAGAGCAATATGAGTACAACGTGATACAAATACAATTAAAGAACAATATAATAAGTTTTGTTATACAGTCATATGAGTTTAATTATATAGAGCAGTATCATTTAAGAGTACAATTACAGAGTAATATTACGAGTACAATTGTAGAACTTATGGAGTTTAAGCAGCGGAAGGTACTTAAAAGTACTAATAATGACCAAATTTGACGAAAATTAAGTTTATTTCACAGGCGTAGCAACAAGCTGAGATACTTATGAAACAATGAATGAAAGTCAGAGGGTGAGAGACAGAAAGTATCGTTCTTCCAGCAAGAAACATGTCAAATTAAATTAAGTCATCCTTCCTCACAAAAGAGAAAAGGCAAATCAAGTAAATAGTGGATGCAGTCCAGTTAGCGCTATTCATAATAGTTCAAAAATAATTTAAATTAAATTAGAAGATTCGTATTATCGAAATCAATATTATGCCGCGCTAATTAGACCGGCATTCAAAGTGAGTAAAATTATTTTCGTTAATAATGTATATACTTGAAAGCAATAGCAATTAGCTAAAATCCTTGAATTTATAAATAATTACTTAAAATTTACCTTATATTAATCAAATGATATATATGTAAAATGTACAATTTTCATATGCAAAATAAGTAAAGAAAGAATAATTTGCTAGAAAATGTACTTTTTTCTGCACGTAACTTTTTTTTGCGTATACTTGGAACCGAATAACGGCAAATTAAAGACAATTGTCAATCAATGATAAATATTAACGTGAAGTACATAAAAAAATGAGAATGGGAAAGAGAGAACAAACAAGAAAAGTAACGAAACTAACGCGTGCAATACGAAACACTAAATATTAGAAATGAAAGTCAAATGCTCGAGTATACCTCAACCCAAAAACTCAGGTGAGTAAATACAAATAAATATCTATCCATTCTTTGTGAACAGCTATCTATTTCCGAAGAGGACATATGTATATATATAATATATATATCTATCAGAATTTATTGTAAGAATAATATCGAATATTAGTTAACAGACGGAACTACTGCATTTATCGAGTGTAAAAATGAATTTAGCGAAATAACAAACGTAGTGACAATTAATTGCATATAATAGCGGATCTTTGAAAGGTATCTTAATGTATCACAGGCGATCGAATTGCTTGATAAGTAGATTCCGTTCGATTATAACAAGCCTAATTGCGTTTCTTTATTTTTATGTCTCTTATAAAGACGTTGTGTACAGGGAGTGAGATAAAATCACTACGACCGAATAAAAATACATCAGAAAGACGAGTGGGAAATATTCGTAGATTCACACTTTTCACAAGTATATTCGCAGTTAATAACCGTTATCGTTACAATATACTCTCCTATAGATGAATTATCTTGCCGTTTTTAACGCGCACGGCAGACGTTAATCAACAGAAATAACTAAAAGCGCTAAAGTTAGGGAAGCGCCAAAAGAAATAAAACTGATTCACTCGATAATCAAGTAGGCACGATTTTGCTTGAGTAAACGAGCAATGTTGCAAACGACACTTCGTAAAGATATAGAGAAAATTAGCTTAAATCTCTCAGACGAGTACGAAATTGATTTTCACAGTTTGACCGCTCGGCTCCTGTCTGATTTATCGATATTGCTTTCTCTAGGTTGATCACAACGGCAACAACTGTGACGCCTAACGAGATCATCATCCACGTGAAATCATCGATTGTAATCGTCGCATGACCGGTATCGCAATCATGAGAATCAGGAAAATCACGAACCTGGTGAGCAAGAATTAATTATTAATATATTAATGCTGCGTACACTAATATATACAAGTAGCATTTTAAATTTCTTGAAAGGAAATTGCAAGAGAGTGAAAATACAGCCACTTTTAAAAGAGAGTAAAAATATTTCACTGTTTTTCAAGAAGTGAAATATTTTCACTCTCTCTTGGAATAAGATTTTACTCCAAGAAATTTGTAAATTTATATATACTAATAATATATATATCTCTGTATATATTAATATATATAATATTATACTTATATATATTTATTGCTGTTTTTCTTTGTTCTAGGCATTTCACATCTCGCAGGAATATATATTCCATACACATCGTATGCTTCTTACAGGTGAATAAGAGTCGCATTTTAGAGTGGTGTACGAATTATATTTGTACAAGAAACTAGGCTGTTTTTTTCTTGACTGATTCTATTCCTCTTGACTAGTCATCTTGTTCGATCATTTTAACGGTTCCAGTTCTAGTTTATATTTTTTGTTAAGATTATTTGATGTAGAAGAACTTTTGAATTTGAAGGGGATCATCGATTTAGTTTCCTTTAAAAAAAAAACATGAATTTTCAATTTTTATCTATTTATAAATAAATTTATGTTTTTAATATTAAATTTTTATAAAATATCAATATTTGCAAAAAAAACTGTTTATTACATATCGTTACATTATACACGATATACATAGTTTTAAATATTTTAATACCAAGAGTTACAAATCTTTTCCAGATTCATTCTGATAACGAGTAGAAATTAACATTATATTTTATCATTCAATGTTAGAAAAAGTTTATGATATATACACTTCAATCGATAAAATCCAATATGTATTTCGATAAAAATCTAACAATATATTAATATTAGATATCTCATATTAGATATCTTTTGTGATTAAAAAATACTTTTAAAGTATATTTCATTATTAATCATTTAGGATATTTTATATTTAGGATATTTTTAATTAAACTGCGATTAACATAATTAAAATTATGCATATATATATATATAATACTATTTTTAAATAGAATTATTAAAATTATAATTTTATTATTTACCGTACAGACAAAAAGATTAGAGACAATAATTGTTAGAACTATAATTTATTTATATATATATATATGCATATGTATGTGCATTATATTTGTAAAGGAGATCGATAGTACTTAACTATTCTTTACTCAAAAAGCTCTACAAAAAATAATATAGCACTTGAATAGTAATGCGAAATGTAGAAATCATTCTCTTTTGTAAAAAGAAAGAAAAATAAAATAAAGTGTAATATATATCAATGAGTATCATCCATTTCTCTTTGACTTCCTCCTTGGCTTCCTTAACGTCCTTTTGCATGAGTTAACTATATTTTAATAGAGGTTCTAATTGTAAGTTCGTCATCTGTTGGATATGAATTTTGCAACACACTTGGA